CCCCCCCCCCACCCTTTTCCTTTCCACAAACTCTTTGCCCCAGGGTGAACTGATGTCACACCGTATCTCCTATTGAGCAGGTTCATCCTAGAGGGACTGCAGTCCTCGGGGTGTGCCCGAAGCGGGGGGAGGCGAAGGTCAGGCTGGGTCCCGCTGTTGGCAGGAGATCACCTCCCTGATTCCCGTGTGCCTGCCTTGCACAAGAGCATTTCTGTAAACATCAGGGGAAACAGCCTTCGTGGTCTCTTTTGGACCCAGCCAAGCCAGGGGTGAGTGGGGTGAGGGAGCATCAGCCCCAGGTACCACGAGTCAGACCTGCCCTGCTCCAGCTGCCATCACAAGCCCTTTGGGCGAGCGGTGACCATGCCATGGTGGCACGTCCCTTTCTGCCTGCGTCCTGGCTGGTGCTGTCAGCGGTGGAGCAGAAGCTGATCCTGCGCGTGGGGACCGGCGTTATCACCGGAGGAGGAATGTGGCAGCTGCCTTATCACTTCCTCAGGGATGCGAGAGGCCATTCTGCTGACAGAGGCATTATTGTCCAGTGGCTGAGATGTTTGGGAGAAGCCACGGCTGGTTTTTCTTCTTGGCAGGGGAGGAAGGAAGCTGGGCAGGGCAGAGCAGGACACAGCCGCTGCCCTCCACTGCTGTTCCCTCTGCTCCTGATCAGGCAGGAGCAGCTCAAGTGCTTAAGGAAATTCACCCCCAGGGTGCAGATCCCATCCTCCCTGGGCCAAAGCTTGAGATGAGGGTGTGGGATTGCTTGCAGCACTGCAAGACCCTTTACAAACCCTTCCTGGGGTGCAAAGCTGCTTTACAGGGAATGGTACTTCCCAGTGGGCTTCCAGCCTGCAGGAAGGTGGCTGGTCTGGGAGGAAGGGGATACGCACATCTTCCTCAGGGTTGGGAAAGGTTTTCCTGCACCCCTTTCCCAGTCTCTGCATCCCACCTTGTCCTTGCACATCAGTCGGTCCCGCTGTGGAACTGTGCCGATGGAGGCAGGGATGCTGCTTCATGACTCCTGGTGGGAGCACTCCTCTGCAGGATCCCCCTGCTAGCTGGGGGGGGCCTAGGCACCTCGGGGGATTATTGCCAGGTTTCACAGGCACTGCCCGATGGCATTAAGGATGGGTTTTCCCTCTGGCTTCGCAGGCTGACAGCACAGTGGAGTGTGGAAGACGAAGAGGAGGCGGCGAGAGAGCGGCGGCGGCGGGAGCGGGAGAAGCAGCTGAGGTCCCAGGCAGAAGAGGGCTTGAACGGCACCGTCTCCTGCTCAGAGAGTGTGGGTCCAGCACAGGAAAACCAGTAAGAAATACCTGTGGATAAATCCTTCAGCAATCCCCTCTCTCCTTGCAGCAAAACCCTCCTGCATCCACAGAGTGGGTGTCTCTGTTGTTCAGGGTGGTTTGGGGAGATGGGGAAGTTCCCTAATAGGTTTGGTTTGGGGGATTTAGCCCAGACTAACAAATAGTGTGTTTCTAGTTTGGGCAGAAAAAGCCAGAATCCCTGCTTTGCTCTTTTCTCTTTTTTTGGCTGGAGGCTAGATGTTTTACTGCCCTGAGAGTTTAAACTAGGACAGCTTGGGTAAGGCTGAGCTCAGGCAAGGGGTTCCCATTGCCAGGGATTTCAGTGCCTGGTTAAATTTCAGCTTGTGAATCATCCTACAGCGAAACTAATGGAAGTTCCTGATACATGCAAACGACAGACACGTGCCTGAGGATGTGATGCACAACCCTGGGCACATCATGGTGCTGGCGACCCAGCAAGCGGTCACCTCTCCTGGCTGGGCTCCCTGCTCTTCCCTCGGAGGATGCTGTCCTGGCAGCAGGGAGCATGGAGCAGCTCCTGAGCTGGTGCAGTTCACAGCTCCAAGGGTTAAAGTTAACTTGATGCTTTAATGGGGCAGGTCCTAAATGGAAAATAGCTCAGGAGGCATTTATGGAGATGCTGAGCTATCTGCTGTTGGAGAGGAAAGCCCTGGAGAAGGGATAGGATGACCAGTCACATCTCCAGCATCCCACCGTGGCCTCC